TGTGCAAATTTTTTTTTTTTTCCAATTTTTATTTTTTAATTTTTTCTTTGGCTAGGAGCTAAATTAATTAGTGATGGCAGCTAAAATGCAGGAACTGGCAAATGACCCTTCAGTGGTAGAGATTAAGAAGCTCAACAAATCTAATTTAGTATTGTTAAGCAATGAATTTGGCCTCATGTTAAATGACAGATAAAAAGTGGACCTTGGTGAATAAAATATTACAACATTGCAAAGACCAAGAACTATTGCCAAGTGATACACCTTTATGCCAGCCTAGCCAAGCTGAAAGTGCAGCTCATAGGGACAGAGAGGTAGCACTAGAATTAGCAAAAATAAGACTAGAGGAGCAAAGACTCAAAACGGAGGAGGCAAAAATTAGAGCGAATACCACTGGACTACCACCTGCCGGGGATTCAAACCCCAGGCATTATGATAAAAAACATAACTTGCCTGAATTTTCAGTCAGACCCTGAAAGGTTTTTCAGCCATTTTCAGAGATTGGCCATGTCCATGAAGTGACCAAAGGAAGAGTGGGTGAAAATCCTACAGGGAAGACTTAGGGGGTAAGGCCCAAGATATTTTTATAAACATGCCTGACGACGAGTGTTTTGAATATAGTAAACTCAGGGAACGGATTTTGAGGGCATATGAAATTATGCCTGAAGCTCACCGCCAAGCTTATCGCATCCTTAGGCCTACTCACAACCAACCTCTCACTGAATTTGCTAATGACCAAATTAGATTGTTTGAAAAATGGATTCACTCGGCTAAAGCCGAAACATACGAGGCACTCAAGAATTTAGTTGTAGTGGAAAACTTTAGATAATATGCCAGAGCATGTAGCACGGTATCTTGGAGGAAGGGCAGAGGTAGATTCTAATATTATGGATTTGGCCAAGATGGCAGAAAACTACCAGTTGGCGGGCAAAAGCCCAATAAAAATAATTATAGCCCACAGAGTAACAAAACTTATACCCACAGCCAGTCCAGACCAGCTCATTCTAACCCTATAACTAATGCACCTTCTGTTTCAGACATAACTAACCCTGTTAAATTGTCTAGCCCCACGTCACCTAAGGGTGAACCAAAGGGCAATCCTGTTAGTAATGTCTCTTCTTCCCGACGTATCTGTGGTCACTGTAAACATCCAAACCACATTACTAGCCGTTGTTGGCAACTGTAACCGGAAAAAAAGACCCAATGCTCTTGTTGTGACACAGGGCTTGAGGCCTTCTGAAGGGTTAGGGAGTAAGACCTCCAACCCACAGTGGTTGGACCTGCTTACCCCATTCTTGTCGAAGGGGAGACTTTTGTCTGAGGGTTCTTCCTGGAAGGACGTGGTGATCTTCCGAGACACCGGTGCCATCCAGATTTTAATTTTAGAGAGTGCTTTGCAAGGTGCCAACACTCTCGACACTGGAGAGGTAGTACTGGTCGAGGGTGTCACTAGTGATACTCGAGCAGTACCCCTCCATAAGGTTACCCTGGAATCTGATTTCCACAAGGGTGTTTGTACAGTCGGAGTCACTTCTTACCTACCTTTCCCTAATGTTGATGTAATATTGGGTAATGATTTAGCATGGGATAAGGTAGGGGACGCCAGACTGCCTATTATGTTGCCTACCCCTAAGGTTTCCCTGGATCTACCTGCCGCAGAGGATAATGTTGTGTACCCTGCGTGCGCGGTGACCAGGTCTATGGGACTTAAATGTAAGGGCTTGCCAAGGTGGTAAAGCCCGAGGACACAAGGATCTTTCCGAGTGGTGAAAGCCAAGTGGACCTTGCGGACACATTCATGGCCCAACTCGATGATGTGGCCAAGGACATTGGAGAGCCTACCCTCACCTCCTACCGAGAGTAGTGAGGGAGGTGGAGGAGTACGCTGTTGAGCCTCGGCTACTGGCATCTGACCAAGGCCTGGACGCCTCCTTGAGTGATTTACAGAAAGCTGACCCCAGTCTTGCAGAATGTCACGAGGTAGCTCTCTCTAAGGAGGAGATTGTAGATGCAGCAACTGGGTACTACTACAATGATCAGATTTTTATGAGAAAATAGAGACCACAGAGTGCTCCCTTGTCAAATGAGTGGGAGGTAGTCCACCAGGTTATGTTGCCGACCTGCTATAGAGAGAGAGTTTTGACAGCTGCTCATGATGATCCTATGGGGGGGACACCAAGGTATTAATATTACTTATCACAAAATTTTCAAATATTTTTTTTGGCCCAAGCTGAAAAGCGATGTTGCGAAATTTTGTAACTCGTGTATTCCTTGTCAGCTTGTTGGGAAACCTAACCAGACACCACCTAAAGCTCCTCTATGGCCTATTGTCATGCCGGAGGAACCAACTCATGTGGTAATGGACTGTGTTGGTCCATTACCTAGAACTAAGTCTGGGAATATTTACCTAATCACGATGATGTGTATCACGACTGTTACCCTGAGGCTTTTGCTGTAAGGAACATCCGAGCAAAGACTGTTGTTGCTCGTGTGTTGCAATTTTTTTCTACTTTTGGACTGCCTCGGGTCGTGCAAACTGACAATGGTACTAATTTTAAGTCTGATATTTTTTAACAATTCTGTAAGGACCATGGAATAACTCATAAGGTTTCCAGTCCATACCATCCACAGAGTCAGAGGGTAATTGAGCAGTTCCATCTAACTCTGAAGCAGATGTTGAAAATATCGTGTGAGAGTTCCCACACGTGGGATGAGAACCTGCCTTATGTTTTCTTTGCTGCTCGAGAGGGGTTACAAAGTTCACTGGGTTGTTCTCCTTTTGAGTTAGTCTTTGGCCATAAAGTTCGTGGACCCTTGCAAATGTTACAGGAGAATCTGTTAGGGAACGTAATGTTAACCGAAGGTTCAGCTTTCTTTGCACAACACCGCCAGAGACTCAAGGACTGCAAGGCGGCTGCACTAAAGTATCTTGGGAAGGCCCAAGAAAATATGAAAGAACGACACTATGTTAAGGCTATGTTGTGGGTATTTCAACCTGGTGACCCCTGTCCTGGTACTAAAACCTCGACTAGGGAACAATATGTCTCACAAGTACGAAGGCCCTTATATTGTGACAGAAAAGGCTGGGGACCTCACGTACAAAGTGAGGCACTCTGACAAGCGTAACCAGGTGATGCTCGTACACTTGAACCGTCTGAAGAAGTTCCAGGGCCCCAGGCCCATCGCACTAACCAATGTTTCCTTTTCCAGTGAGGGAGGGGATGATTGTTCTGGGGACCCAACTAATCTCATTCTCAATAATTCTAGTTCTGTGAATGCTGTGGAGGAGGGACTGTCCCATTTGCAGATGGCCCAACGTGAAGAGGTGCAGTCGTTACTTGACGAATTCTCCAGTCTGTTCGGGGAGGTCCCAACCTAGACTGATGCTATCTACCATGATTTCAAGTTGACGGACTACATCCCCATTCGTCTTCAACCCGATCGGATGAGCCCAGAAAAAAAGGCCATCGTGCAGAACGAAGTCGACTTTCTGCTCCATCACGGCCTCATCCGGCGGAGCCAGGGCTCTTGGCACTCACCCTGCCTTTTGGTCCCCAAACTAGATGGCTCCTGGCGATTATGCACCGACTATCGGCAACTCAACAAGGTGACCATTGTTGATACCTATCTGCTGCCCCTCCTAGAAGACTGCATCGACGAGATCGGAAACGCCAAGTACGTCTCGAAATTCGACTTCTCGAGAGGTTATTATCAGATCCCGCTCACCGAACGTGCCAAGCAACTAACTGCGTTCGTAACACCCGATGGTGTCTTTGAGTATCAAGTGTTACCGTTCGGCTTGCGTAATGCCTCTGCCACGTTCCAGAGGCTAATGAACTCTCTGCTCGCTAATGTGCCAAATTGTCGGGCGTATTTAGATGACATTGTGTTGTTTGATAGTAATTGGACTGACCACATAGCTAGGTTATGCCAGTTGTTCACAGTTCTGAAAAGGGCAAACTTAACTCTAAATGCAAAAAAGTGTCATTTTGGCCAAGGCACAGTGACGTACCTCGGTTATGAAGTGGGCCAAGGAAAAGTGTTACCTCGGCAAGATAAAATCAGTGCCATTCTGGAGTATCCAGTGCTCCGGTCTAAAAAGGACGTTCAAAAGTTTATCAGTATGTGTGCGTACTACCAACGCTTTTGTCAGAACTTTTCCAGTGTCGCCACTCCTCTCACGGACTTGTTGCAGAATTCCGTTAAATTTAAGTGGTCAACAGACTGTGCAGAGGCGTTTAAAAATTTGAAATTGATCTTAGCTTTCGCCCCAGTGCTCGCTAGTCCAAGGTTCAACAGACTGTTTAAAATTCATGTTGACGCATCTGACTCTGGTGCTGGTGCAGTGTTGTTGCAAACTGGGGATGATCAAGTGGACCACCCAGTATACTATTACTCTGTGAAATTTGACAAGGCGCAACGCAATTATTCAGTGGTAGAAAAAGAAGCGTTGGCGCTAGTGTTAACATGTAAAAAGTTTGAAGTATATCTAACAGCTAATATAGTGGAAGTGTACACGGACCATAACCCACTAGTGTTCTTAAACCAGATGAAGGAGAAAAATAAACGCATCCTCAGGTGGGCATTGTACCTACAGGACTTCAATCTTTCCATTACCCACCTACTGGGCCGGCTAAACGTGATCGCCGATGCGCTGTCCGGGTTACCTGAGTAACATTCATCTGAGCCACAGGAAGCCATATACCAACTGTCATGCTTTAGTTATTTTTTTTTAGGTTCTCCTGTGACATTAAATATTCCGTGTCAAATTTATTTACTTCCCCATTTTTTTTTGTATGTGCTTTTTCTTTCAGAGAATTCCTTTGTGTGTGCTTTTTCTTTCAGAAAATTTATTTTTGTGTGCTTTTTCTTTCAGAGAATTCCTTTGTGCTTTTTCTTGCAGAGAAAAATGCCAGCCCTAAACGTCTGGCATCCAACGTTACGCAGACAGACGCTCTCTCTTATGATATAGATAGATGGTGGTTAAGTTAATTGATATACAGTTGGGAAGGAGAGGCAGTTTTTATTGAGTAAACATTTAGCATCCTTACATTGACATTTATAACCACTTTCTTGGGTGCTTAGCATTCTGAAATATAAACATGTAGCGGAAGTTTTTAGTTGTTGGACTTAAGGTCTATCAACCAGTAGAGGGTTATTACGCCCACCACAATAACAATACCTTAGTGACCAACCAGAGAGTATACTGCAGTCCTCAACATAGTCCAGAACTACAGAAAACTCTCAGTATATACAGACCGAGGAGGGGGGTATACCTCAGGTGTATATCTTTCACCGAATTTGTAGAAATACTGAACACCTTTCAATAGATATTAAACCATTTGGTTTAGAGGTTTGACCTTATGTATAGATGCTATAGCAACTGTGTTGCTTTGATATATACATCCTTTGTAAGCAATCTTATTAATGTTATTGAGTTCCTGCTATGTAACACCGGCTCTCTATGGAGGCTATAACATCTGCGGAGGATAGTCACGATGAGACAAGTTGATCGAGTTATGGTGGTTACATGTCTCTCATGTGGAAGTTGGGGTTGGTTCAGGCACCATGAGAGGAGTGTTGACACTGGCACCATGGGAGAGAGCCTGGCACCATGGGGGAGAGAGCCTGGCACCATGGGAGGAGGCCACCACTACACCCCCTGGCTGGTACAGAAGTGTAGACCCTCCCCAACACACGTCGCGTACCTGGTAAAGACATGGTTAAATTATGTTAACAACAGTCTATACGTCGTATTTGTTACGGAAATGACCAATCCGTTACAAGTGGGATGTTGTCGTGGGAACTGAAGCTTTGTTGACGTGTTCTGTGTTGACCTCCAGAACGGTCCACAGGTGTGTCACGGAAGGTCCACAGGTGTGTGTCACTGAAGGTCTACAGGTAAGTCACGGAAGGTCCACAGGTGTGTGTCACTGAAGGTCTACAGGTAAGTCACGGAAGGTCCACAGGTGTGTGTCACTGAAGGTCTACAGGTAAGTCACGGAAGGTCCACAGGTGTGTCACTGAAGGTCTACAGGTAAGTCACGGAAGGTCCACAGGTGTGTGTCACGGAAGGTCTACAGGTAAGTCACGGAAGGTCCACAGGTGTGTCACTGAAGGTCTACAGGTGTGTCACGGAAGGTCCACAGGTGTGTGTCACTGAAGGTCTACAGGTAAGTCACGGAAGGTCCACAGGTGTGTCACGGAAGGTCTACAGGTAAGTCACGGAAGGTCCACAGGTGTGTCACTGAAGGTCCACAGGTGTGTCACGGAAGGTCCACAGGTGTGTGTCACTGAAGGTCTACAGGTAAGTCACGGAAGGTCCACAGGTGTGTGTCACTGAAGGTCTACAGGTAAGTCACGGAAGGTCCACAGGTGTGTGTCACTGAAGGTCTACAGGTAAGTCACGGAAGGTCCACAGGTGTGTCACGGAAGGTCTACAGGTAAGTCACGGAAGGTCCACAGGTGTGTGTCACTGAAGGTCTACAGGTGTGTCACGGAAGGTCCACAGGTGTGTCACTGAAGGTCTACAGGTGTGTCACGGAAGGTCCACAGGTGTGTCACTGAAGGTCTACAGGTAAGTCACGGAAGGTCCACAGGTAAGTCACGGAAGGTCCACAGGTGTGTGTCACTGAAGGTCTACAGGTGTGTCACGGAAGGTCCACAGGTGTGTCACTGAAGGTCTACAGGTAAGTCACGGAAGGTCCACAGGTGTGTCACGGAAGGTCCACAGGTGTGTGTCACTGAAGGTCTACAGGTGTGTCACGGAAGGTCCACAGGTGTGTCACTGAAGGTCTACAGGTAAGTCACGGAAGGTCCACAGGTGTGTCACGGAAGGTCCACAGGTGTGTGTCACTGAAGGTCTACAGGTGTGTCACGGAAGGTCCACAGGTGTGTCACTGAAGGTCTACAGGTAAGTCACGGAAGGTCCACAGTGTGTCACGGAAGGTCCACAGGTGTGTGTCACTGAAGGTCCACAGGTGTGTCACGGAAGGTCCACAGGTGTGTCACTGAAGGTCTACAGGTAAGTCACGGAAGGTCCACAGGTAAGTCACGGAAGGTCCACAGGTGTGTGTCACTGAAGGTCTACAGGTGTGTAGACCTTCAGGTCCACAGGTGTGTCACGGAAGGTCCACAGGTGTGTGTCACTGAAGGTCTACAGGTGTGTCACGGAAGGTCCACAGGTGTGTCACGGAAGGTCCACAGGTGTGTGTCACTGAAGGTCTACAGGTGTGTCACGGAAGGTCCACAGGTGTGTCACTGAAGGTCTACAGGTAAGTCACGGAAGGTCCACAGGTGTGTGTCACTGAAGGTCTACAGGTAAGTCACGGAAGGTCCACAGGTGTGTCATGGAAGGTCCACAGGTGTGTGTCACTGAAGGTCTACAGGTAAGTCACGGAAGGTCCACAGGTGTGTCACGGAAGGTACACAGGTGTGTGTCACTGAAGGTCTACAGGTGTGTGTCACGGAAGGTTTACAGGTGTGTGTCACGGAAGGTCAACAGGTGTGTGTCACGGAAGGTCTACAGGTGTGTTACGGAAGGTCCACAGGTGTGTGTCACGGAAGGTCCACAGGTGTGTGTCACGGAAGGTCTACAGGTGTGTCACGGAAGGTCCACAGGTGTGTGTCACGGAAGGTCTACAGGTAAGTCACGGAAGGTCCACAGGTGTGTCAAGGAAGGTCTACAGGTGTGTCACGGAAGGTCCACAGGTGTGTGTCACTGAAGGTCTACAGGTGTGTGTCACGGAAGGTCTACAGGTGTGTGTCACGGAAGGTCCACAGGTGTGTGTCACGGAAGGTCTACAGGTGTGTCACGGAAGGTCTACAGGTGTGTCACGGAAGGTCTACAGGTGTGTCACGGAAGGTCCACAGGTGTGTGTCACGGAAGGTCTACAGGTGTGTCACGGAAGGTCCACAGGTGTGTGTCACGGAAGGGTCCACAGGTGTGTGTCACGGAAGGTCCACAGGTGTGTCACGGAAGGTCTGTGTGTCACGGAAGGTCTACAGGTGTGTCACGGAAGGTCCACAGGTGTGTGTCACAGAAGGTCTACAGGTGTGTCACGGAAGGTCTACAGGTGTGTCACGGAAGGTCCACAGGTGTGTGTCACGGAAGGTCTACAGGTGTGTGTCACGGAAGGTCTACAGGTGTGTCACGGAAGGTCCACAGGTGTGTGTCACGGAAGGTCCACAGGTGTGTGTCACGGAAGGTCCACAGGTGTGTGTCACGGAAGGTCTACAGGTGTGTCACGGAAGGTCCACAGGTGTGTGTCACGGAAGGTCCACAGGTGTGTCACGGAAGGTTCACAGGTGTGTCACGGAAGGTCCACAGGTGTGTCGTGGGGGGCCGTGGTACCCACCTGAGGGCGTGGGGGGCCGTGGTACCCACCTGAGGGCGTGGGGGGCCGTGGTACCCACCTGAGGGTGTGGGGGGCCGTGGTACCCACCTGAGGGTGTGGGGGGCCGCGGTACCCACCTGAGGGCGTGGGGGGCCGCGGTACCCACCTGAGGGCGTGGGGGGCCGCGGTACCCACCTGAGGGCGTGGGGGGCCGCGGTACCCACCTGAGGGAGTGGGGGGCCGCGGTACCCACAAAAGGGCGTGGGGGGCCGCGGTACCCACCTGAGGGCGTGGGGGGCCGTGGTACCCACCTGAGGGCGTGGGGGGCCGTGGTACCCACCTGAGGGCGTGGGGGGCCGCTGTACCCACCTGAGGGCGTGGGGGGCCGTGGTACCCACCTGAGGGCGTGGGGGGCCGTGGTACCCACCTGAGGGCGTGGGGGGCCGTGGTACCCACCTGAGGGCGTGGGGGGCCGCGGTACCCACCTGAGGGCGTGGGGGGCCGTGGTACCCACCTGAGGGCGTGGGGGGCCGCTGTACCCACCTGAGGGCGTGGGGGGCCGTGGTACCCACCTGAGGGCTTGGGGGGCCGTGGTACCCACCTGAGGGCGTGGAGGGCCGAGGTACCCACCTGAGGGTGTGGGGGGCCGCGGTACCCACCTGAGGGCGTGGGGGGCCGCGGTACCCACAAAAGGGCGTGGGGGGCCGTGGTACCCACCTGAGGGCGTGGGGGGCCGTGGTACCCACCTGAGGGCTTGGGGGGCCGTGGTACCCACCTGAGGGCGTGGGGGGCCGAGGTACCCACCTGAGGGTGTGGGGGGCCGCGGTACCCACCTGAGGGCGTGGGGGCCGTGGTACCCACCTGAGGGTGTGGGGGGGCCGTGGTACCCACCTGAGGGTGTGGGAGGCCGCGGTACCCACCTAAGAGCGTGGGGGGCCGCGGTACCCACCTGAGGGTGTGGGGGGCCGCGGTACCCACCTGTGGGCGTGGGGGGCCGCGGTACCCACAAAAGGGCGTGGGGGGCCGCAGTACCCACCTGAGGGCGTGGGGGGCCGTGGTACCCACCTGAGGGCGTGGGGGTGTAACAAACTAGGCTGTTGTAAGAATTATCCAGAGTGGTTTATCGACAAAAGAGAAGGGGAAGCTGAGCCCGCGTGGTGACCTGGGAACCTGACCCCCAGGGGGAATTCGCGGTGGAAATAACCGACGCTTTGTTCATAAGCTGCGTATAATGAATCATCCTATAGTATTCAGTAATTTAGAGAAAGTAGCCTTTATTTCATTTTGTATTAAAATTGTATTGTATAATAGTACTGGGTACAACATCAAGAGTATTCTAATTATTGAGTTTAAGTCACCATCAGTGACGTCACGAATCAGATCTAACTTGTAAGGCGGAGTGACCGGCGGTCATAGGTCAGCAGGGTTGACAGGTCTACTATTTCTCAAAGTTCAATTATCCATTTTTGGGGGATCGGGAACAGCTTTGCCGTTAGATGTTTGTGTAATCTAATTTCAGTAAAATAATTCAACCAATCTGGATCAATTCAGTACAAACAGAGGTTAATTGTTATAACTTAAACCTTGCTAGTAACTTGGTGAAACTTTGACTAGGCGGAAGGATACAATGTTCTAGTCTGGGCTAGGCCAGACGAGGACAAATCAGTGTGGAAAAGGGAGCAGCTGGGAGAGGTCAAACATCTTACCTCTCCCCGAGACCAGCCCAACATCTTTAGCTGGTAAAACATAGAGGTATAGTTGCTATGGTTATGTATAGAATAGACTCATTTGCCATTCAGGTCAAGTAGGGAGTGTTAAAGTGACAGGGAGTGAACATATTTAGATTTTGTTTTAGTTTTTCTTTTAATAAATTAATTAGTTATTAAATTGCATTTTTATTATTTCCATGTGTTTTATGTGTACACTTGTCCTGGTCACGTGGTCCACACGAAGCAGAGTTGGATTGGGCGCCGATTCTAACATCGAATCGGAATTATCATTACCGTGTAATTTATTCCACACTCAAGGTCATCGTTTATAGTGGGGATCAAGCCCCAAGGTTGATTAATTAGCGTGATCGATCCAGACCTCGATCATTGCTTGTGTTACTGGTCTGGTGGTGGCAGCGTAGAGGCGACTCTAGGGTTTTGCTCAAGGCCTAGGTCACGCCATACTGGTTGTAGAATCCTAAGTCGGTCAATCGTCTTAGGACCACGTGGTGTGGAGTCGGCTTTGGTAAAAGTTTTGGAGTCCCTTGGTAGAGAATAAAAAGTAAGAATACGGGTAGAGGGAGTAGAAGGAAAGATAAGTAGAGAGAGGAACCCCTAACCCGTGTTACAGGGGGCCGTGGTACCCACCTGAGGGCGTGGGGGCCGCGGTACCCACCTGAGGGCGTGGGGGGCCGCGGTACCCACCTGAGGGCGTGGGGGGCCGCGGTACCCACCTGAGGGTGTGGGGGGCCGTGGTACCCACCTGAGGGCGTGGGGGGCCGTGGTACCCACCTGAGGGCGTGGGGGGCCGCGGTACCCACCTGAGGGTGTGGGGGGCCGCGGTACCCACCTGAGGGCGTGGGGGGCCGCGGTACCCACCTGAGGGAGTGAGGGGGGGCCGCGGTACCCACCTGAGGGCGTGGGGGGCCGCAGTACCCACCTGAGGGCGTGGGGGGCCGTGGTACCCACCTGAGGGCGTGGGGGGCCGTGGTACCCACCTGAGGGCGTGGGGGGCCGTGGTACCCACCTGAGGGCGTGGGGGGCCGCGGTACCCACCTGAGGGTGTGGGGGGCCGCGGTACCCACCTGAGGGCGTGGGGGGCCGTGGTACCCACCTGAGGGCGTGGGGGGCCGTGGTACCCACCTGAGGGCGTGGGGGGGGGCCGTGGTACCCACCTGAGGGCGTGGGGGACCGTGGTACCCACCTGAGGGCGTGGGGGGCCGTGGTACCCACCTGAGGGTGTGGGGGGCCGTGGTACCCACCTGAGGGTGTGGGGGGCCGAGGTACCCACCTGAGGGCGTGGGGGGCCGTGGTACCCACCTGAGGGTACCCACCTGTGGGGGGCCGTGGTACCCACCTGAGGGCGTGGGGGGCCGTGGTACCCACCTGAGGGCGTGGGGGGCCGTGGTACCCACCTGAGGGCGTGGGGGCCGCGGTACCCACCTGAGGGCGTGGGGGGCCGTGGTACCCACCTGAGGGCGTGGGGGGCCGTGGTACCCACCTGAGGGCGTGGGGGGCCGTGGTACCCACCTGAGGGCGTGGGGGGCCGTGGTACCCACCTGAGGGCGTGGGGGGCCGTGGTACCCACCTGAGGGCGTGGGGGGCCGTGGTACCCACCTGAGGGCGTGGGGGGCCGTGGTACCCACCTGAGGGCGTGGGGGGCCGTGGTACCCACCTGAGGGCGTGGGGGGCCGTGGTACCCACCTGAGGGCGTGGGGGGCCGTGGTACCCACCTGAGGGCGTGGGGGGCCGTGGTACCCACCTGAGGGCGTGGGGGATGTAGGTGTTCTCGTGGATGCCAGTGAAGAGGTGGGCGTGGGGGCCGCGGGCGTAGAGGACCACGTCCTCCCCGGCGTGGTTGGACTCCACCATGGGCACTGTCGCCGCTCCTACGTAGTGTGGGTCACCTGTGGGGGGAGACGTGGGTCACCTGTGGCCAGAGAAGGGGGCGGGGACGGACAACCATTTGCATGAATTATGGAATCAGTTGTAAAATTTCCCGTGCATGTTGGATACTCAGGAGAACTCAGAAACTCAGGAAACAAATCTTAACCCCCGGGGATAAGGGTGAATGGGAGGGGCTGCTGTAACTGTCAACTGTAGTCGACCGCTCTCCCCGTCCCATCTTCCCCTTGTTTTACTTTCCTCTTGCTCCTTGTTCGTCTCCCTCTCCTCTTGCCTCATCTCCCTCCTCCACCGACCATACACCAGGAGTCAAGAGTCCTTAGGTAGTGAGACAGTCTAGGCCCTAGCAGCGTCCCCTCTCCCTGCTGCCCGCTCCTTCCCTCTAATCCCCCCCTTCCCCTACACTCCGTGGTTCCCCTCTGATTGGCGAACCACCACTGATTGGTTCCCGTACCATAGCCATGGACAGTTTGGGGCAATAAAGCTGGCCGGTCATTATACCTTCCAACAAGGCTTGTTTTCCTGAGATGTCTGTGTGGGAACAAATGCAGGGCAGCGCCTGGCACTGATTGGCTGGATTAATGGGCCTACAGCCTGAACTTTGAAATGGTTGGCTATAGGCATATGGACCCTAGGAAGCTAAGATAGTTAGGTGGGTGGAGCCATTCTCCACTTGAAGGTTGTTGAACATAAAATTAATGAGTGTGTCGTGGGTGTCAACTTGGGGAGGTGGTCAGGACCAGGAGAGAGCCTACACCATCCGGGCTGGCTACACACAAGGTAATGTGCTGTCCTTGGTTATGTATATTCACTGTTTACACCAACTGCCTTGTATAGGATTTATATTGCCTAGGATGTATTTACATGTCATGTTATCAATAAAGGTTCTTGTTAAGTGATATTTGGTGTTTAGCTAGTGACTTACTGTAGTCCTCGGTGGACGGGTCGGGACGGCTACCGTCCACCTCTCCACGGTAGCCTGGACCGTTGGTGTAGAGCAGAGTGGTGTAGGGAAGACCGTCCACGTCAGAGTAGTCCCCGAGGTCTGCAACCATTAGTTACCAGTGTCAAAGGATTAAAATAAGTAAATAAATCCACAAGTAGGGTTCTCATTTTTGTCAAGACCTCAGTAAATCAAGTCAAAAATTGATTGAGAGCGATATTACTACACGTTCTACGTACATAGTGCTCAACCCAGCCTCCAGAAGCAATAGTACTTACACCAACTATTGGTGGAATGTACAAAAATGGACTGTTGTACTCCCAAAAATGTTTGCAAGTTGTACTATTGGAATACCACAAAGAGCCTGGTAAAGTTTGGAACAATAAATATATAACCTTAACCTATCCTGTCTTAATAATTGTGTAACTAGCGTCAAAATATTGTTATTTGCTTAGTTAAACGAACTAGAGGGTTCAGTTCCTGAACCGATCATGTGCCTCTGTAACCCTTTACACCACCGCCCCCGGGATGGGTATGGGGTGCATAATAAAGAAAAAAAATAAAAAATTGATTGTCCTAGGCCTAAATAGTCCATCCTAGGCCAAATATATACGCCTTCTTAGGCTTAATTAAGTACACATATGTACTATACAAGGCTTAGGAAAGTTTAGGTTCGTTTATTGCCTTCTCTCTTGGGTCCTCTACAACATTAATAATACACAATGTGTTTTTTATATTTGGGCACAACAGTTATTTTTGTACGTAGCGTCAATAGTTCGTATAAGTACTATCATTTGTGGACGACAAGCGCTAAGGTTAGCAGTGTAGTTGAACTGTAAAACACTCAATCACCTCGTGTGGGTGAGTGTTCCATTACCAACTACACTATGATATGTGTGAGAGTATAGTGAGGCAGTGGGAAGGGATCGAACTCTCGTCCCTGGACTCTATACTCACGCACTACCCACTCAACTACGGTGAGCTTTAAAAGTATTTAAACCAAAAGTAATTATCAAAAGAAGGCACAAGACACTGAAAGGCTACAAGCCAATATTAATAAAGTCTTCGACTGGGCAACGGAAAATAAAATGATGTTTAACAGTGATAAGTTTCATGTTCCAAGTAGAAATTAAGAAAAACTAAATACAGGGTACAGGCCACTGTAACCAACTCACAGGAGGACGTCAACATGTAAAAGATCTGGGAATTATGATGTCTGACGACCTGACATAGTGAACATAACCGAGGAAATATAGCGGCGGCCAGGAAAATGATAGGATGGATTATGAGAACGTTCAAAGCCAGAGATCACACAGCAATGTAATACTATTTAAATCACTGGTGTTGTCCCGTCTTGAGTATTGCTCGGTACTCACTTCCCCTTTCAGAGCAGGAGAGATCTGTGAATTAGAGGTAATATAGAGAACATATACGGCAAGCATAGACACGATAAAACATCTAAATAATTAGGACCGTCTCAAAGTTGTCAAAATGTACTCCCCGGAAAGGTGAGTGTTTTAGTAGGCCGCCGTGGAGGAGTGTGTGGTAATGGCCATTAGCTACACTCTCCGTACTCGCAGCGTTACCATCCATCTCATCAATCCGTTCTGATTCCCGCTATCATGAATTGCTGTCAGAATCCAATCTGCATGAGTGTGGAAGATTAATGTGGGATGTGAGACAAGAAAGAGTGTATCAGCATGTGGTCACCACAGAAGCAATGAGACTACCTCGTGTATCATCAGTGATCGTCACCATCCACAGTCACCCGTCACTTTATGACTACAATACCTCACTACGAGGCAATAGGGAAGGTTTTCCAGTGGTTGTGGAATCCTCCTGTGGTAATTAAGGACGTTACGTCCACTTGGTTGGGCATTGATGTTCCCGCCTCACCGTGTCACCATGATCTCACCTCACCGTGTCACCATTATCTCGCCTCACCGTGTCACCATTATCTCGCCTCACCGTGTCACCATTATGTCGCCTCATAACCAGGTGAGGAGCAAGTTAAGTCATCTTCAGACTGCTGCAGTATTATTATGCGTAAGAATGAGGTGGTGTAACTGAGGGAACTGAGTGACTGGCCTAACGTGACTACTCATACTGATGTTGGTGCTGAAGCTGGTGGACTGACGTCAAGTTAGGTTCTGGCTGACGAACGTTGTCCGTCAGCCATTACGATGTCCTATTAGCACCTGATTAGGTGAAGGAAGGGAACCCGCGGGAGACTCACCTGTAAGGAACGACCACAGTATATTGGAGGGAATTGTTGTGAACAAGTCATTACTGTGTGTAAGTAATACAGCCGGGAGCACACTCACGGTCGATGGGAGTAATGTGTGTTAACTGGTTCACTTCAATATATACCATTCTCTGTAACATTCTTCCATGCATGTATTACCTCATGACAGGAGACACCAGTAATTCCAGAAGTAGCGGGTGATCGGTAGTGATAACCTGTGTATGTAATTACTGTGTGGATATTAATAACTGTCTTATTGATTAATACCCGTGTGATTATTAATTACTGTTGTGTTGGTTATTGACTGTGGGCTGTGTTAGTGATTAGCACTGAGAGGAGTAACTTGTTTTACTGTGTTTTGCTTGTCTGCACGATAAGGTCTTGGTGTAAACTTTAATTGGAAATTAAGCATTCAGTGAGAAGTTAATTAGGGGGTAATTAACGCCACGAAGGGAATTCACATTGTTTGATGAGAGTTGTCGTGAGCGGCAGTATTGAGTTAACGTAATTCGTTCTGGGTTAATTATCTGTCCGCGTGACAGTAATTAATTAACGTGTGACATCAAATTAAATTTGGTGTGAGACTTCATGACCTACCCTATATATTGCACTATGCATTCGAGGAGCTCAACGACCTGGTGGATAAAGATTCCAATTGTTTTAGTATCCTGGCGGCTGCTCTCGTCTAAGTATTTTAGTTTAGAGTATTAAGCAGCGGTGGCACTTACCGTGCTGGGTTATGCACACCTTTCTGAGTGAGGACATTTGTATTGGTGCCCAAACCCTGTCATGGGAATACCAGAAAATCTCACAGAGACCATAAAGGTGTCAATAATATATACATAGAAGATAGTGGAGGGCCAGGTACCAAATTTGCACAGTAGAATGGCAACATACTGGAGTGAGCGATATTAAAATACAGAATAGAACCAGTGAGTTGAGGTGCCATTAACATTTTACCACTGAGTTGGTCAATAAACCAGGTCTGCCACTGACCTGGTCAATAAACCAGGTCTGCCACTGACCTGGTCAATAAACCAGGTCTGCCACTGACCTGGTCAATAAACCAGGTCTGCCACTTACCTGGTCAATACACTAGCTCTCCCGCTGATCTGGTCAATACACTAGCTCTCCCGCTGACCTGGTCAATACACTAGCTCTCCCGCTGATCTGGTCAATACACTAGCTCTCCCGCTGACAGGTCAATACCATTGATGTTGAGAGACTCACCCAAGACATCAGAGCCTCTCTCCTGGTAACCATTGATGACCAACGGTTGGGCATGGTCAGCCGTGACAATGATGAGGGTGTCCTGGGGGTCCGTCAGGCCCACGGCCGTCTCTATGGCTTTCTCGAACTCGATGGCCTCCTCCAGGGCGGACCTGTACTCGTTGAGGTGGTGCGCCCTGTCGATGTTGCCTCCTGCAGGACCAGCACCGTTAACATCTCTTGCACAGTGACAGGTTAAGTAATAATTGTAATTACGAAGCAATAAGCTGCTTATCTTAAGATACTAACAAGGTTAGGTAAGGTCGGTGTTTTCTATGAAGCTTTTTAAGGGTATCTATTATGTTTAGTATATCACCTATGCACTTATTAAATAAGTCAATATTGACTTTACGAATTTGCGAGAACGGGTTGCACAGTGACATCATGCTCACGCCATGGATCAACCAGAAAATCAGTAGGAGCCGTGAGAAGGATTCGAACCCGGGCACTTGGTGGGCTTGGGAGTACCAAATGTGCGGCTTCGAATGCTCCTCATTGCTCCTACTCATTTTCTGAGTATGTCACTGTTAATGTCATATTCACTGAGGAAATATTGAGGCCGTAGAGTGGGATCGAACCCGTATATCTCGGTCAGGATTCATGAAGCATCTCCGCAACCATTTATGAAACTTGTACATCTTTCCTCAATCATGGCTGACGTGTTTACATGTATTAAACAGTTTACGAGCGTGTGAACTTTACAACCCAGGGTTATTATTCTTATAAACAACCTCGTACTGATTACCAGCTCATAATCTGTTTAATAAATGTAAACAAAGCCCCCGTGATGGAAACAAGATGTAGAGGTTTCGTTAGTGGTTGAGTAAATGGTTCATATATCCTGGCTGTGAACTGCTCAGGCACATGCACTACCAACTAAGCCATGATGGGCGTACAAGTACCCGGGTATGGCATCATATACTATATTTGTTGACCTTCTTCATCACTTATTATTATTATTATATTATATTAGGTATTTATTATGACAATACAAAGAAAACACAAAATTTTCTGTTCCATTACACTTGTGAAGCATTAAGTATACACCCGGGAGAGAGAACATGTTCAAGTGGAACCACACAGTGAGCGTGTAGCATGGTGGGGACCACACAGTGTGTAGCATGGTGGGGACCACACAGTGTGTAGCATGGTGGGAACCACACAGCGTGTAGCATGGTGGGAACCACACAGTGTGTAGCATGGTGGGGACCACACAGTGTGTAGCATGGTGGGAACCACACAGCGTGTAGCATGGTGGGGACCACACAGTGTGTAGCATGGTGGGGACCACACAGTGTGTAGCATGGTGGGGACCACACAGTGTGTAGAACCACACAGCGTGTAGCATGGTGGGACCACACAGTGTGTAGCATGGTGGGGACCACACAGTGTGTAGCATGGTGGGGACCACACAGTGTGTAGCATGGTGGGAACCACACAGTGTGTAGCATGGTGGGAACCACACAGTGTGTAGCATGGTGGGAACCACACAGTGTGTAGCATGGTGGGGACCACACAGTGTGTAGCATGGTGGGGACCACACAGTGTGTAGCATGGTGGGGACCACACAGTGTGTAGCATGGTGGGAACCACACAGTGTGTAGCATGGTGGGAACCACACAGTGTGTAGCATGGTGGGAACCACACAGTGTGTAGCATGGTGGGAACCACACAGTGTGTAGCATGGTGGGGACCACACAGTGTGTAGCATGGTGGGGACCACACAGTGTGTAGCATGGTGGGGACCACACAGTGTGTAGCATGGTGGGGACCACACAGTGTGTAGCATGGTGGGGACCACACAGTGTGTAGCATGGTGGGAACCACACAGTGTGTAGCATGGTGGGGACCACACAGTGTGTAGCATGGTGGGGACACACACAGTGTGTAGCATGGTGGGGACCACACAGTGTGTAGCATGGTGGGAACCACACAGTGTGTAGCATGGTGGGAACCACACAGTGTGTAGCATGGTGGGAACCACACAGTGTGTAGCATGGTGGGGACCACACAGTGTGTAGCATGGTGGGGACCACACAGTGTGTAGCATGGTGGGAACCACACAGTGTGTAGCATGGTGGGAACCACACACTGAGCGTGTAGCATGGTGGAACCACACAGTGTGTAGCATGGTGGGGACCACACACTGTGTAGCATGGTGGGGACCACACAGTGTGTAGCATGGTGGGAACCACACAGTGTGTAGCATGGTGGGGACCACACAGTGTGTAGCATGGTGGGGACCACACAGTGTGTAGCATGGTGGGAACCACACAGTGTGTAGCATGGTGGGGACCACACAGTGTGTAGCATGGTGGGAACCACACAGTGTGTAGCATGGTGGGGACCACACAGTGTGTAGCATGGTGGGGACCACACAGCGTGTGTAGCATGGTGGGAACCACACAGTGTGTAGCATGGTGGGGACCACACAGTGTGTAGCATGGTGGGTACCACACAGTGTGTAGCATGGTGGGGACCACACAGTGTGTAGCATGGTGGGGACCACACAGTGTGTAGCATGGTGGGAACCACACAGTGTGTAGCATGGTGGGGCCCACACACTGAGTGTGTAGCATGGTGGGGACCACACAGCGTGTAGCATGGTGGGAACCACACAGTGTGTAGCATGGTGGGAACCACACAGTGTGTAGCATGGTGGGGACCACACAGTGTGTAGCATGGTGGGAACCACACAGTGTGTAGCATGGTGGGGACCACACAGTGTGTAGCATGGTGGGAACCACACAGTGTGTAGCATGGTGGGGACCACACAGTGTGTAGCATGGTGGGGACCACACAGTGTGTAGCATGGTGGGAACCACACAGTGTGTAGCATGGTGGGGACCACACAGTGTGTAGCATGGTGGGGACCACACAGCGTGTAGCATGGTGGGAACCACACAGTGTGTAGCATGGTGGGGACCACACAGTGTGTAGCATGGTGGGAACCACACAGTGTGTAGCATGGTGGGGACCACACAGTGTGTAGCATGGTGGGGACCACACAGTGTGTAGCATGGTGGGAACCACACAGTGTGTAGCATGGTGGGGACCACACACTGAGCGTGTAGCATGGTGGGGACCACACAGCGTGTAGCATGGTGGGAACCACACAGTGTGTAGCATGGTGGGAACCACACAGTGTGTAGCATGGTGGGGACCACACAGTGTGTAGCATGGTGGGAACCACACAGTGTGTAGCATGGTGGGGACCACACAGTGTGTAGCATGGTGGGAACCACACAGTGTGTAGCATGGTGGGGACCACACAGTGTGTAGCATGGTGGGGACCACACAGTGTGTAGCATGGTGGGAACCACACAGTGTGTAGCATGGTGGGAACCACAGTGTGTAGCATGGTGGGAACCACACAGTGTGTAGCATGGTGGGGACCACACAGTGTGTAGCATGGTGGGGACCACACAGTGTGTAGCATGGTGGGAACCACACAGTGTGTAGCATGGTGGGAACCACAGTGTGTAGCATGGTGGGAACCACAGTGTGTAGCATGGTGGGAACCACAGTGTGTAGCATGGTGGGGACCACACAGTGTGTAGCATGGTGGGGACCACACAGTGTGTAGCATGGTGGGGACCACACAGTGTGTAGCATGGTGGGGACCACACAGTGTGTAGCATGGTGGGAACCACACAGTGTGTAGCATGGTGGGGACCACACAGAGAGTGTGTAGCATGGTGGGGACCACACAGAGAGTGTGTAGCATGGTGGGGACCACACAGTGTGTAGCATGGTGGGGACCACACAGTGTGTAGCATGGTGGGGACCACACAGTGTGTAGCATGGTGGGGACCACACAGTGTGTAGCATGGTGGGGGGACCACACAGTGTGTAGCATGGTGGGGACCACACAGTGTGTAGCATGGTGGGGACCACACAGTGTGTAGCATGGTGGGGACCACACAGAGAGTGTGTAGCATGGTGGGGACCACACAGTGTGTAGCATGGTGGGGACCACACAGTGTGTAGCATGGTGGGGACCACACAGTGTGTAGCATGGTGGGGACCACACAGTGTGTAGCATGGTGGGGACCACACAGTGTGTAGCATGGTGGGGACCACACAGTGTGTAGCATGGTGGGGACCACACAGTGTGTAGCATGGTGGGAACCACACAGTGTGTAGCATGGTGGGGACCACACAGAGAGCGTGTAGCATGGTGGGGACCACACAGAGAGCGTGTAGCATGGTGGGGACCACACAGTGTGTAGCATGGTGGGGACCACACAGTGTGTAGCATGGTGGGGACCACACAGTGTGTAGCATGGTGGGGACCACACAGTGTGTAGCATGGTGGGAACCACACAGTGTGTAGCATGGTGGGGACCACACAGAGAGCGTGTAGCATGGTGGGGACCACACAGTGTGTAGCATGGTGGGGACCACACAGTGTGTAGCATGGTGGGGACCACACAGTGTGTAGCATGGTGGGGACCACACAGTGTGTAGCATGGTGGGAACCACACAGTGTGTAGCATGGTGGGGACCACACAGTGTGTAGCATGGTGGGGACCACACAGAGTGTAGCATGGTGGGAACCACACAGTGTGTAGCATGGTGGGGACCACACAGTGTGTAGCATGGTGGGGACCACACAGTGTGTAGCATTGTGGGGACCACACAGTGTGTAGCATGGTGGGGACCACACAGTGTGTAGCATGGTGGGAACCACACAGTGTGTAGCATGGTGGGGACCACACAGTGTGTAGCATGGTGGGGACCACACAGAGTGTAGCATGGTGGGAACCACACAGTGTGTAGCATGGTGGGGACCACACAGTGTGTAGCATGGTGGGAACCACACAGTGTGTAGCATGGTGGGGACCACACAGTGTGTAGCATGGTGGGGACCACACAGTGTGTAGCATGGTGGGGACCACACAGAGAGCGTGTAGCATGGTGGGAACCACACAGTGTGTAGCATGGTGGGAACCACACAGTGTGTAGCATGGTGGGGACCACACAGTGTGTAGCATGGTGGGAACCACACAGTGTGTAGCATGGTGGGGACCACACAGTGTGTAGCATGGTGGGGACCACACAGTGTGTAGCATGGTGGGAACCACACAGAGAGCGTGTAGCATGGTGCCCTGGAAACACAAACCGAAACTGTCTCTATTTCCGCTTGTTAC